CTGGGGAGGGGGGGGGGGCATTGGGATATATTTTTTTTAAATCCTCTGGAGCAGAGAGAGGAGCTGTGGATTATTGTTATTGATTAATGCATCAGTGTTTCTTAGGGTCAAATACACTAAACTCACAACTTAAAATGAAAGTGTTTAGTTTATTTAATAAAAGAGCACATGTTCAATGTGAAAAGTGACAGTAGATATAGATTAGTTGCAATTTGGTGCTATATATAAAAAATTAAAATTAAAGGTGGGGTACGTAATTTTGGAGAAACCAGCTCGAGTGCGCTAGAATTTGAAAATACACAGCCGGAGAAAATCTGCCACTTCCTTACAGAGCCCCTCCTCCAACACACACGAACGCGCACATGACCAATGAGGGCACGAGATAAGTTTGTGCACAGATGGAAGGCTGACAGGCAGCTAGGCCATCCAATCATTTTAGCCGGGCCGTGGTCGTGCTTTTTACAGTACTACGGCTTCCACAGATGACATTTTTTTATGGATTTTTTGTCAAAGCACTTTGACAATTCATTGCTATCGGGATGTTAAGAGCATTCCATGGAATATAACAAAAAGTGTATCTCGAGCCGGTTTCTCAAACTTACCTACCCCACCTTTAATATAGAAAAAATGTATATATATATATATTTTTATATTATATTTTATATACACCTTGAATTTCAGGGGGGGCACGGGTCTTCGTTGGCGGGGCGCAGCGCCCCTCCAAGGCAATGGTAGGGGAAACACTGAGTTAGTATATTCGCACTGAGTTGCTTTCTTGCGGAGAGTTTGGATATTAGATCGATATTTTTTTTATTCGAATTTCTTTTGAAATTACCTTCTAAAAATATTTTTATAATTATCTCAACAAGCATAAATTGTTTTAGGAGGAGCTAAGGGGTGTAACTATTTATTTATGTAAGTGAATCCTTCCTTCCAGCAGGGGCTTGGCTTTTGTATTCGTCATGCTAAGCTAAGCTTTATGCTAAACATGTCTTGTCTCTTTACTAGCTGTGTAAGATACTTAATACACAGTTATCAAATCAAATCAAATCAACATTTACTTTTGCCCTAAATTACAAAACAAATCCTCAAAGGGCTGAACAAAGCAAACTAAATATGAATATCATAGCACAAAATGATAGAAAACAAGTTGAACAACAACATAAATAGTGCCATATGATAAAAGCATGTGTATGCAAAACCAGACAGAAGTGATGCTAATGTAGCCAGAAATGGCAAAAGTACACACATCCTTTACTCAAGTAGAAGTACAGATACTTGTGTTTAAAAATACTCTGGTAAAAGTAGAAGTACTGACTAAACTTCTTTACTCAAATAAAAGTATGGACTTCGTACTTGTAAGTGTTTCATAGAGTAACTGGTAACTGGACCTCACTTTATATTAATAGAACATTCTAGATCTTCTATTTCAAATTGTAATCATGTCATCGTTAGCTAATGAATGTTCCAACACAGTACAACAACCATTTAGAACACAAGCAAAGAAAAACAAAGTGGGGAAATAAACGCCTACATTGTAGATTCTAGGGTGACTATACGTCTTCCTTGGAAACAACACAACAATTATTATGGTAATGCTTTAAAAAAACTGAATTGAAGTGAGTTATATGGTGAACTTTATTTAAAATTGTGGGATCAATTAATAAACAACCAAACTCAATAATTGTGTTTGTGTGTGTGTGTGTGTGTGTGTGTGTCTGTTTGTGTGTGTTTGTGTGTGTGCAGAATGATAGAGACAGCAAGTGATGGCATGATTGCCTTCGAAAACCAAACAAATTAACACGAAGTAACAGTATTGCTGAAAGCATCAAGCGTAACAATAGTTTCCTGAACCACACATCGCCAGCAATGCCGATCATTTCGAATATCACCCTCATATACTGTATGACCATGGGTGAGGGAGATTAATATCTCTGCTGCTATCAGTATTGTCGCTAACTTCATCACCTGTCTCTACCTCTTACGCTTCCTCCCTAACATCCTCCATTCTCATTGGTCCCTCTTGTTTAGAGAAGGCCAGGAAATGATGGATACACGGATCGTGTTAAAATCAATAGGCACGCAATGATTCTAAATAATAATGATCACGCCACTAAACGCAGATTAAAACTAAAGTAACCAGCCTGTTTTGAAAATGTAAGAATTAGAAAGTACGGGTATTTGTGTTAAAAATGTAAGAAGTAAAAAGTCGTCAGAAAAATAAGTACATCGTGGAGTAAAGTGATACCAGAAAAATGTACTTAAGTACAGTAACAAAGTATTTGTACTCCACTACTTCCCACCGCTGAATGTAGATGGGAACTAGTTGACATGGAAGATGTGAAGTTATGAGAGTGTTATCAATGTAATCATCTAACTCTTAGCTTAGCGTATTTCCAAAAATCACTAATTTCTTGTAGCGGTCCAAACAAATACTCTTCCCAAAACATCAAACGCTCAGTCCTACACATTTTCTGCTTCAGGCAAACAATAAATTAATCAGAATCATTTAATGTTGATAGACACTACTTTAACCACTGCAGAATAATTACTTATTTTCCTCAGGATCTTTCCCTTATGATTTTATTTTTCCATTGGTGCAGCAGTGCTCTTAAAAAAGATATACTAACTATTATACCTGCTGATAAAGCTAGTTGCACTGATGACAGAAACTGTATTTTAATTCCTTCAAAACAGCACAGTAGTTTTCAGTAAAATTGCAGCGAAGTCTGATGGAAACAGTTGGAAGTGTAAAGACGGTTCATGCTGCCCTGCAAACAGACACATGTTCTGATCCAAACACATGACCGCAGTCTGTACCTGTTCTCCTGCTGTTTGATGTGTTTCGGCTGTCAAACGGGGATAAGTGTGTGAATGCAGTTGTTGTGTAGAGGGTGGAGGTGTAGCTGACTGGCAGAGGTTTAATTGGTCTCATGGTTGGCACTCCTTGCCCTGAAGTGGCTCTCTATGGCCTCATTCTCCGTATTTTTAGTCAAGCCAATCCTCTTAAAACACAAAAACCAGACTCTGAAGAGACAAAGACACACAATTCTCCACACATTTGTTTGTGTGTGTGTTATCAAAATAAATGGGGGAATTTGGAAACATGATAAGAGTCAGACCTTAATGCTGCCCGAATGCCCCACAGCAGCTTTACCTCCATTTTGAGTGCCAGACAGAACGTTTTAAAAGCCAAGCAAGCTCCTACACACATAATCATTTAAATACTGTAAGGCATTAGGGAAATTGGCACAATGCATACTAACAGAGTGTAAATCCAATGGCAGGGGGGATATCGTCCATTGGAAAAAGAAAATATATTTCACAAATGAAAATAAGGTAGCATTGTTTGTTGCAGTTGGTAAACACCCAGCATTCACAGTTGTGTACATGTGTGTGTACTGGAAATACTCTGGTTAAGGCAAGGGGTAGAGACAGGACATGATGTCCTCGTAATTTGGTCACAAACAACAGCAGCCTGTTGCCGTTTTGTGAATTTGTCTGAGGATTTTGGTGCCGGCCGTTAGAGACAGACATTTCAAAATCTCGTTGTCTCTCCAGTTGGGTGTTTGTCTTCTTTCTGATGTGTAGCAACTGCAATAGAAACGTCATCAATACAATAGAGAATGAGAAAAACAAGAGTATCTGCAACAAATACAGACACTAACATCTCATAAGTTATGATTGAGAGTTTCTGCATTTTCTTTGGGATTATTTTGCCTATTATATTAAATATAGCTTTGTAAGTGTTGTTGAAAGTTCAATCATCTTGAAAATGTATTTAAAAATACTTGTTATTTTAATTCATTTTTCGGTAAATGAAATAATAATACGCAAAAACTTTTGTGGAAAACTAAATGACTACATCAGGACACAAAGGTTATCTTATGTAATTTGAAATTGAGAAGTGGTTTGGCTTTCTGAACCCAACGTGCAGTAGCAAGCCGCTGGGTGAGATCAGGGTGGATTTGATTTACTAATGCCTGAATGAAGTTACTCCTTGTGTCCTAAAGTCTTTTTCCAATGAAATTATCTTTCATTTGATGAAACATCTAGTTAATATGTCACATTTAATGATCTATAATTAACTGGGTGTTGAATGGGCTGGAAAATGTTGCGATTAGCAATTTTCCATTTGGTCTGTAAGCCATTAACAGAATTCTGTGTCTGCGGTGATGGTTGACAAATCTTGGATGGACAGATGAAAATAATTTAATCAACTATTTCATTAACCTCTGACATGATGTATTAGTGGCTCATTACTTTTTTTGATATGTATTTCATCAGTGCTATAATGGTGTTTGTAGGAGTGGACAAAATAATAGATTTTGCTGTTTATAATCCTGTGTAGTTATTCCATTATCTAATTGTATACACTTTATGTTTTCAAATAATATTTTTTGTCTGTTAAACTAAGAGCATTTCTGGAAAGTTATATTGCACCCAGAGGCTGTTTGTTTAGATGTATCACATACCATTTCAATGTTATATTGATTCCAATGATTTTGCCAGTTGTATGTTTAACGCTTTTAACCAGGCAAAAGGAATCTGTCTAGATATCTTGATTTATCGGCATAACTAAGATTAACATATTTGAGTCATGCTGACAGTCCGGCTCAATTGACAGCAAAGTCAGTCCACCTTTTATATTCAGACTTCAACAACTTTTGCATTGATTCCAATGGAACCTAAACTCTCTATGCCATCAACAGGTCAACGTTTATATCCATGAAACATCAACATGTTAGCATGCCAACATTGGGGTTCAACTCAAACAACTGATTTGCCTAATAAAGTCTCACAGAGCCAATAGCATGAATGTTAACCCGCAGTCTGTATCAAAGCAAGTTCATATATTTGTACTTCCATACCCTTTAGCGCTGGATGGTCCGATCCAGATTCCCTTTAATCAGATTTCAACGCAGATGGTTTGTAATAATAAAGATTCAACTCTTCATCAGTCAGTTATTACGATATAAAACTCAAACTCTGAGCCATTCTTACCATACATCTTTATTAATGTATACATTATGTACAATAATAAGTTATATATACAGTTATATTTTGGTTCTGTAATGAGTTTGCATGTGTTTCTACACATTTTACTGTCCATTATGTGCCACTGAGGTAAGAGATCCACTTTTGGCTTGTGTCAGCAAAGCATACTGTGTGCCTGTATTTGTGCTCTTCTGAAACAGGGGCTTGAGACCATTTCATTTCAATTCAATCCATCGATCATTTACAAAAGTATAAAACATCATAAAAAGAACTTCTCAAACCTGTTTTGAATTAGAAGACAACCCTGCTCGATAAAAGGCAGAATATTTAACCATGAGCTTTGACTCAGAGTTATTAATTGTAAAGAAGTGCTTGGTAAACATGCATATTAATTCATTTAAAGAACCAGAGTCCAGCCCCAGTGTTTGCAATGCAAAATAGGAACAAACGTTAGAAAAAGAACATGGCACTTGTGTTTGGTTTAGCGCAGAGCTATCATGGGACATTATGCAGACAACATCACGCTTCAGATAAAGATCAGCCCTATTCCAGAGAAATTAGATGAAAGTCATTATTGGCTTTGCTTGTTGGACTTTGGAATTTACTGCTGAGTTTGGATGGTTAACTTCTACAGAAAGCAGGATGATAGCATCTTACTTAATGCATCATCACTATTAATTCAACTAAGATGAGAATTAACGCTCTTAAGTTTAACTTGATGCTGATCTATGCCACCCTCAGTCTCTGTACGTTCAACTCTCGACCGTCTTCCTCTGCTTCCTCGAGGTGTACGACCCGAACAACTGCATATTGTTCTCATTTGCCACATGGGTCCCACAGGGGAGAGGGGAACTTAAATCCTGTCTGAGCATGACTGAGCCGACCACAAAAGCTGAGTAAGGTCAGACGTTATGAGAGGACCGTGTCGCTGCTTCCACCACGACCGGCTGCATTCTTCACCGTTCACAGTGCAGCAACCCCGGGGGCACTTAGTCATGCCTGTCTTGTGGCATCTCTCTTTTTAATGCAGGTTTTTTTACAGCTTTTCCACTGGGCTTTCAGTGGTTAAGTGGCCCTAAATGCTTAATTGGGTGCTGGAAATCACAGGCACTTTGCACCCGCTCTGTAAACCACAACACTTCAGCCTATTAGGGGCCCGGGGAGCCACACGCCAAATAATTAGGGCTGGCGGCAGCACTAGACCGCAGAATTGGGGTAAAAGAGGTATAAGGGGGAGAGGAAGAATTATGGGGGGGTCACAGACTGGGTCACTGCTGAGGAAGCAGTTGCTGTAAGAGCAGTGTATGCTGAGTGTGATAAAGTGGAGGGAAGTAGATTTGCATTTGGATTAAGACAAAAAACATGGGCAGCATTGTATGGGATTATCACCAACTACACTACCTAAAGTGTTTAAAGCATTTTTTAATTGGTTGAATTTATATGTTCATATGGTAATCAATTAACAGAGCTCAGTTGGTGTTTTTAAATGAAACACCATCACAGAACCAATCTTAAAATGGACATTTAGTTTGAAAGTATCAGCCTAATGTCTATAGAAAATACTGTTCTGTAATATTGAGTAACGTTGACACAGGAGAGTTTCTAAATTCCCAAATTCTCAAACCAAGTTCACCCTCTGAAAGTTGATCTGAGGAATACTTTAGTGTTTCCGGCTCCCCACAATGATTGCATTTTAAGTAGGGAGCTTATATCTGCTTTCTCTGACTGCATGATGACAGCACAGCCAAAGTTATGAATGTGAACTAATGCTGCGGTCAAACAAGGTTGCTCGAATACAAACGTCTAGTTACATCAGCACTAACCAAAGTATGTTTGCCCTGATCTGGAGGTTCAGTCGAAGGACAACTAAGAAGGCATCCTCATTCCTTCCACTTCTGATGCACTTTTATAGCGGTGTTCCTACAGGAAAGGCACTTAGCCGGCAGTAACTGCTCAGTGATATTCATTAGCACATCATTACATCTTTTTATGTGATTTGTTTAAAGAGCAAGCTTAATTTTGTATCAAAAATGTGGAAGAAAAGCTGTGATTGTGTTGCGTCCAGCGCACAGTTAATCCAGCTATTTCTTTCCAAACATTCTGTAACATTTATGGAAGACAATATTTTCCAAACTAGAGGCAAACTTAGAGAGTACAGATTGTGGTCTTTCTCAAACTCTGTATCATTTCAAAAAGACAGAATGGTAAGGCAACACATATCATTTCAGATGAAAAGCTTCTTGACGGATAAAAACCAGGATAGGAAGGAAAGGATTGTGCACAGGGAGGTCCACTGGCATTCTTCATGTGATGGGGGTCAGGTGTATACTGTATGTGCCGCCTCTTTGTCAGAGCAGTATCTGTCCCTACAAACATGTATACTGTAAGGCATCCAAGTCTTTTAAGTCTCTGCTCAACAACAGTCTTTAGACGCTGGCGCAGCGCTGGGATGGAGACGGGCATGGGGTTGTACAGACCAACTGGCTGTGAAAAGTGCTATTGCCCTGGCGACCTGCAGCCGCCGCCATCTCCCCGCTGCCCAGCACGTCCGAGCAGAGCGACTCCACGGCGTCCAGCCTCTCGATCTGGACCAGGCGGGTCAGGAGGTCGGGGATGCTGTAGCCCGCCGTGCTCACCCTCTCGAAGAGCTGCAGGCCGTCGCTCATGCCACCGATCTCGTCGCGCTTCAGCCCGAAGCTCTCGGCCAGGTGCCTCCACGTCTTCACCACGGCCGCCTCGCTGCTGTAAGACGAGCTCAGCATGCGGCTGGCCTTCTCCAGACAGTCGAAAGGAAGCTCTGTGGGGCTCAAGCCTGCAGAGGGACAGGAGGGTTAGAGATGTCAGTATTACAAGGACAGTCATTTACATCAAGATCCGTCATTTTTAGCCATGCTAGTGGTGAGATGTGAAGGGTATCAATCAGTCAGTTAATAGATGAACCATCTCGATCTGAACTGAATATCAAAACAAATAATGGATGGTTTGCAGTGAAATTTGGCCCAGGTATTCTTAGTCCCCTGAGGATGTCCTTCGACTTTGGTTTAAAAAGTGTTGTTTCCAATACTTAGGAAAATACCTAAATACTTGCAAAACTCTGCTGCACATTGTGTTTACTGCAAATTATCAAATGTTAGCAAGATAACACCCTACACTAAGATGGAGGACAGTTCTGAATTGTATTCACTAGTGTGAATAGTGAGGTCTTTCTAGGCCAGTTTAATTTCCTAAAGCATAAAGTCATTATGATTTCTTACTTCAGCAGAGTTGATACAAAGATTTCATATTTAGTGTTAACAAGGTTAAATGTGCCCACAATAGTGGCAGTTATCAGTTCTTCATTAAAAGGCTTGGTGAGATGGATATTTGCATCTGTGTCAGCGCGACTTACCCTCTGTCACATTGCAGGCTCTGCCATACAGATCCAGGATCTTTTTTCTTCGACTCTGTAGCATCTGTGTGCAAAAAGCACACATTATGTTATTTCTAAGATCTTTTGCTGTTCATATATTTTTACCCTAGTAACGTCTTTAAAATATCTTCTTACCCCTGGGGTTTTATTGTTGTTGTTCAGTGCATTCACAGTGCTGATGTGGTTGGCGCTGGCAATGTGGTTGACTTTGCCGATGTGGTTGGGACTCGGGGTGTTATTGGCCTGCCCGTTGGCGTGGGCTGGGGCCCCGTTGCAGGCTCGCTCCCGATCCAGGAGGCCCAGAGAGAGCAGGCAGAGGTCGGGCTTGTTGCCCAGGTTGACGAGGCAGGGGTTGGGGGTGTTGGTCTCGGCTGAGCCTTGCTTGTCAGACGCCGCCTCCTCGTCGCTGTCAATGCTACGACTCAACAGCTGCTCGTTCTCGGATGATGCATCATTTTCACTGCAAATACAAACACATATATTTAAATATATTGTATGTGCACATACTTATAGTTATCCCATAAAACAGCTGTTTATCATTTAGGATCTCCTGCCAGTGTTTAGGTTTTCCTTTGTTCGGCGCATTGTAATCAGTTAGCTCTAAAGATGCTTGTGGGATGATTTTTGTTACCTTTGGAAAGAGCAGAGCTAGCTGTTTCACTGTTTTTTGTCATGTATTCATGCTAACCCTTGATTTGTGCAACTCTCAAGGTTGTTCAGGGTAGGTATTGATTCAGAATATCAGCGAGTTTGGCCAGAGTTCTCACCAAGATAAAAAACAAGTTTTATGCTAGGCTAAACTAACTAGGCTGCTGGCTATAGCTTCTAAGTTTATGTACTGAAAGGATGAACAGTAGTTTCTAACATATACTGTATACGACATATTTTCTAACTGTTATACAATTACAAAGAACACATTGAAATACTGTCCTCAGGTTACAAGGAAAATAATTATTAGAATTTTACTTTTTAGTATAAAATGTTTCAGTTAAATGTGTCCAGCTTCTGACAAAAATCTAAGAAAATAGATTTGAGATAAACCCCAAATACACTTTGTTGCCAGTTTATTGGATACCATATGTATTCTAGCTAAAACTGAAGCATTCAAATAGAATTGGTCCTATGTTCATAAAAGTTATACAGTTTTGCTTTGTCCACTGATTTGTATCAATGAGTGTAGGCTAAATATTATATCAGCTCTTAGTTTAACCAATATAATTCAACAGTAAACAGCCCCAGAAAAGTAAATACAGTGTTTTTCTGGTGAGAGTCACAACTATTGCCCACAGGATGACTTGTGTCTTTGCAAACGTTGTCAAATGAAGATGAACTGGAGAAGAATGCTGTTGTTGTTTCTAAGCTGTTCCTGTGATTGACTGAAATAGCCCTGCGTTTTACAACATGATACCATGTAATATCATTTGATTACCTGGCCTCTTCCTCCCAATGCCTGCTCAGGATTTTCTCCCGAAAGCACCTTGTTGACAGAGATGCTCACAGAATGCCATTGTGTTCGCAGTCCCACACTATCTTTACGAGCACATACACACAAAATGGCATTGTTTCCCGGACATCCAACACCCACTCTGGCAGCTAAAGCAGTGAGTTAGCACATCCTCTGGCATGCTGCTATACCACACTGTGTAGTGCTATTGATGCCCGAGGTGTGTGTGTCTGTGTGTATGTGTGCGTGTGTGTGTATTCCCCTTACTTGATCCATAAATTGAAACGGTGTATCAATCTAAGCATGTTCACTGCAGGCACAACATTGAGCACAATGGCTCACTGTAGATTTGTGTGCAATATGCTATCATCTATTCCCACACTTCTCTTTGCACACTACCCATTAGTGCCTATAAAGCAGCATTGTCTGCACATGAAGGATGAGATGTATGCAGTTGAAAACGAAGGTGAGAAAACTGTCGTCTATTGTTGTCTGCCAGGACGAGCTTTCACCTAGTAGTGGTTTTAGGCGCAGCCTGGAACAAATATCCCTATCTGCTTAGACAACGTCCCCCTCTGTTCTTATCTCAGCGTCTGTTAGGCTTCAGGGCTCATCTAAGCTACCTCTACCGCCCCCGTTCCTCCTCACCCACCTCTTTGCCTGCTCCAAAGCCACATAATAGCCGTCTGCTTCATTAAAAAACCAAAAAGAACCTCAACTGTACTTTGTTTAGTACATGCCTTACACACACACACACACACACACACACACACACACACACACACACACACACACACACACACACACACACACACACACACACACACACACACACACACACACACACACACACACACATACACACATACACACACACACACACACACACACACACACACACACACACACACACACACACACACACACACACACACGTACGACACTGCAAACATATAGGCCAGCAGCAATGCTTCTACTACTGCAGTGACTTGTTCTGTGGTGGCTTAATTACGGGCAGATGCTGAAAAAAATGATAAAAGCTTCTTTCTGTTGTGTAAAGCCTCTCTGACGCCACATTCAAGTGCCAACACACACATATAAACACACACACACACTTGTACATAATACACACTCAAAGATAAGGACCCACTGCTGTACATAAATGACATACATATCCCATAGTAGATTCCACAGTAGATTTCCCATACATTCAGTGTATGCACAGCTATGAAACATAACACACTCACAAACTTCAATGATGCATACATATACATAGTTATTGCAGACCCTAAGGGTACATTTAAAATAAACGACACGTTCGCTTTAACTTCTTGTCGTGAGATGTGTGTTGATTGCACAATGTAATGGAACCAACAATAATACCACTTTGAAACACTAGGGGGTAAAAGTTATCTGTAATATAATTAAGTGCACTGAACATATTAGCCCTTTTTCCTTTGTTTGGTGAACCATTTACTTCAAACCTCAGTATATACTGAGCATGTGGCTGGTGGTGAACATTATTAAGAACACACTCTAATAATGTATCAACTCCATCATTTCAAGACTTAGGTACTTCTTCTCTAACCTTAACCTGACAGAATAGGTCCTCTTTGTAATCGTAAAGCCTTGTAGAAGCTTTTTTTATGTCCCTTAAAGTGGACCTATCATGCTATATTTGAATAATATAGTGTAGGACCATACCTATATAAGGCATATTTATACTTTTTTCTTTTTCAAAATACCAAACAGATCATGCATTTTAGCCATGCCTCATTTCGCTCAATTTGCACTTTTTTAGCTCTGTTTTTGCAAGGGCTGATTCTGTGATAACAGCACCACCTACAGGCCTGGCATATGTACTACAGCGTCTCCAGCGCTTTCGAACGGCAATGGCCGTGGCTGTCTCCTCCTGATTGGTGGAGTTGGCCCAATAGCCGTAGCGCCACTGTCCTGACGTCAGGACAGTGTTCAAATCTGGATCAGTTTTGATCAGATCCGTTGCAGCCCCTTTTTTAGAGATTTGGGTATGGAGGAAAATAGAGAGGGTTGTGTTTTCTGACACTTGGTGAGTTCCCTGGAACACCGGGGACACATATTCATGTATAAAAGACGTACAAAAGTGCATTTTGCATGATAGGTCCCCTTTAAGTTTTCTTCACTTGCTCATATTATGCTTTTAGACGTAAAGAGTAGCGGTGTGGTGAAGGTATGTGTGAATCAGACGTGTTGCTCACCTTTTTACTGTCTTCTGAGGAGCACCCTTCAGTTTGTCAAACTCATCTTTCTCTGAGTAGATCACCACATTGTCTATAAAGGGAAAATAACAGGATATAGAGGGTTATTTTCTCACAATACAGAACACACAGACAATTCAGTAGTCATTCCAACACCTGGCATCATTTTGTAAATGAGAATATAATTACCAAAATATCTCACATGAGAGAAAGAAGTAACACTCCTTTTTGAAATGCAAGTGTTATATGGTAGGTTCTATTATAGTAATACAAATAGTCTAACATTCAAAACATCTATTAATTCTGATCCAGTTGATTCTTGTTTTTTGCAAAATTAGATTGCATTAAGCCTACATTTTTTAATAGATGTTTGCAAAAGTAGAGTACTATTCAGAGTGGACTGTTGGTTGTGTCTTGTTTGGTTAAACTGCACCTGCTGCTGAGCTGGGCAATGTGCGAGAGAAGTTTATGGGAAAATGAAAAGTACACCACATTGGCTAACAGAGAAAAGAAGAGAGGAGAGGGCAATAGTACAATATGTCAAATCTGACCCTTGGGGCTCTTTTTCTTTTATCACACAGTGAGACCGGATTAAATCTACATTTTTAATAGATGTTGGCATGATTTTAGTACACTAAAGAGAAGTGGTTCCCGGGGCTAAAAGGATGTACACCTCGCACAAAGGAACTGCAGTCGCAGCGGTGTATAAAATGATTACAGTGGCTATTATGTTAAATTACACTTCTATCATGGACACTGATGGGAATAGACAGTGTAATGAGTGAATGCCTAAGTGGAACAAATGCTGAGTGTGTGTGTTTGGGAGAGAAAGAGAGTGTGTGTGTGAATTTAAGCCTCTGTGTCTTTCATCCCACAGCCTTATTAACTCGGTGTCAACATGACTGACAGCTAGCTCCGGTAGAGCTCCAAGCAATGGGCTTCTCTCCCAGACACACACACACACACACACACACACACACACACACACACACACACACACACACACACACACACACACACACACACACACACACACACACACACACACACACACACACACACACAGAAAAGTACTTAACAATGCAGGTATTTATTTTTTAATCATACTATAACTACTTTATTATGTTTTTTTAGCGATTACATTATTAAGTCAGAAACCTCGTACCACATAATGTGTTTGTGGCCACAGATACAGTAAGATGTGTGTGTATGCGTGTGTTCTTCAGCATCTGCACCACATGTGAGTGGTTAGTCAGTCAGTCAGTGTGGAATTGAAATTGAACAGAGCATCATTGTCAGGAGAAATGGCGCCTAAAGCAACGTATGGCTTCAGCTTTGGAAGCTTCACATTCCACCACGATGTACTCATCATGCTGCGGGTCTGTCAACACACAAGCACTCACTTGCATTTGCATACATTATGCTACAAACCCTAAATATGCACATTAGTACTGGACCAACCCGCTAAGGCAACACTATTAACATTGAGATGTGTTTTCAGTTTGCTGCATTAGTCAGTGTTGCACATTTGTTAGACAGATCTTAACTTATTATGTTTAATATATGTAATGTAAAGCGCTTTGAGCATTTGGAAAAGCGCTAAAATAAATGTAATTAATTATTATTATTATTATTATTAACATGAAGGGAGAGTTAGCTTAGTGTCTCATAATTCACACATCGAGGCTGCTCCAAATACTTTTCTGCCTGCAAAGAGTACAATTCTAGAGAAAACACTATTACACAGTGTGAAATTATTGCAAATATATAGCTTACAATTTTTGTTCAATAATATAATCAGCTGAGCCCTACAGAAAAGAGTTGGATAATACTTTTACAGTCATAAGCTCATCCCCGGATAACGTTCAGTGTTCGGCTTAACGAATAAGACAGACGTACAGATACCTGAATCCATGTTAGAGAGGATTTTGCTGCAGGATTGAGTCAAATTACAGCGTTACTCTAATCACTGCTGGGTGTTTTCTGTTCATGCATGAATTAAATTGAGTAAATTATGTGCTGTGACGCTATTTTGTAGATAGTCGTTAAAAAACATAATTATAGTAGGTTTTGTTACTATAATTATGTAGCTTAGTGTGTCTTTGTACTGTTTGGTGTGTATTTTTAAGTAGCTTAAACTGCATGTGTTAGCAAGTGTATATTTTGTAAGTTCTCTTTTTTTTAATCCTGCAATGTGCGAGAGAAGTTTATGGAAGTATTGAAATGATCAGTTTGTGACTGTTGGCCTGTTTATTTTTACTTTACAGATATGAAAACACTGACAAAGTTGGAGAGCAAAAAACAGATGGTCTGCACATAAACAATCATTAAACTATTGTATGTGCATGCTTTACTTTTGATGTTTGTGTTTCTTTACAAGTACAAAATATAAATATATATATATAAATATCATATAAATATATAATATAAATATCTTACACTATGTACTCCATATGATCCCAAGGAGGTTACTATATATGAACTACAGCTGCTTTTTTAGTACTGCTATAAGTACTGTTGGCCTTAACTGTCGACCCTTGGTTTAAGAATGAACCAAAACATAATTATTTCTAGTCTCCTAAAACATATAATAGTGTTAGTCATTTCCTGCACTCGCCGACTAGTATGTTAGTTATTAAGGAGATTTTTTGAGTATTTTATTTATCTTTTTTTTTCATTTAAATATCGTCACTTGTTTTCTGAATCCTGGATTAAAGCCCTTGTCCATGTGTATGGCCAAAAATGTGGATGATGTTAGAAGGATATGAACAACAATATTACTTATGGTTCATGGAAACAACATATCCGGTAAACAATCCAAACCAGGATAAGGCTCACAACCAGGATACTAGGGTTGATGTAAACAAGACTCCCAATTATCAGGCCAGAAACACAGGGACTCCAAACAGCATGCGTGAGCTCATTAATGATGAAATCTGTGTGTGTGTGTGTGTGTGTGTGTGTGTGTGTGTGTGTGTGTGTGTGTGTGTGTGTGTGTGTGTGTGTGTGTGTGTGTGTGTGTGTGTGTGTGTGTGTGTGTGTGTGTGTGTGTGGTGTGTGTGTGTGTGTGTGTGTGTGTGTGTGTGTGTGTGTGTGTGTGTGTGTGTGTGTGTGTGTGTGTGTGTGTGTGTGTGTGTGTGTGTGTGTGTGTGTGTGTGTCAAGTCTCACCGGGGACATCTTTCTTGTCTTCCTGCTTGTTGGTCTGACCCTCCACTGTCTTCACAACTTGCCCTGAGCAGCATGCTGTAGAAACACACACATAAGGAACGTCATATAACACAAATTACAGATCCTTGAGTGTGTGTGTGTGTGTGTGTGTGTGGGTATAAATATATCTTACCCTGGCCACTTGGTTTGGCCTTCAGGATGTAAAACATGATGATGAGGACGATGGCGATGGCCATGATGAAAATAGTTGACATGGCGATAATGAGAGCTGTTGCGAGGTGACTTTGTCCGGTGGAATCTGAAACATGCAGGCATTGACGTAAAATCATATTAATTATAGGGGTGTGTGTGTGTGTGTAGTGTCTGTGTGTGTGTGTGTGTGTTTACCTTCTGGAAGGTGAGGGAACAAAGTAGTGCTGCCAGGGTCAATTGTAGTTTTTTCCTTTTTTACGCTGGTTGACATGCCTGTAAAACACAAGCAAACACATTCTTTGTTTATTAGTTTTGGATTAGTATAAATATATTTGTGTCCTATATACTTGTATATCCATTTTAGCAAAACCTTAGCCACTATCACAGGGCTATGGGCTTACAGTAGAATTGTCTCATAATTATTTGTGTGAACATAAAAATAATTTGTGTGTAAATCTGTGATTTGTAAATGTAAAACACCATCCACAAATGCATTTAAAAGATTTGCAAACTCACAAATAAATTTGCAAATGTAAAACGGATCTGCAAATACGCAAAATATTTTTACCTTTCCGCCGGTCTCGGCTAAAATCTACTCGTGTCACTCGGTTATTTTTGGAAACCACGTGATGGCCTGCTGATGATGACATTTCCGCATGGTTTTCAAAGTAAGAGCATGATGGTTTGTTTAATGCGCTGTTTTTTTAATGAACAGCGGAACGTTAGATGCATTCTTTATCACCATCATGTTATAGTGATACAGTTAGTTTGTGTTACAGTAGTTTATTGGTTCAACTTTCTTCATTGTTTTTTGTGTATTCAGTCAAGCGGGTCAAAGTTACAAAGCACTTCACATCTTTTTAATCGGCCTAGTTTTACCTTACCAGTGCAGTGGTAAGGTAATCTGTAGAAAAGCACCGTATTTAGGTCAGCCTTCATAGTAAGGCTACATTAAATGTTATAATATTCATCGTTTCCTTTCTACTGTATATGCATATATTCCTGTCTATTGCTTTCATTTGTATTTAATGTTATTATGTTTATACTTGTTTCCACACAAGTATAAACAATTTGGGATGAATGAAGTATATATCTATCTGTCTGTCTGTCTGTCTGTCTATCTAACTTTCTATCTATCTATCCATCTATCTATCCATCTATATATATATATATATATCTCCATCTATCTATCTATCTATCCATCTATCCATCCATCTATATATATATATATATATATATATATATATCCTACCTACCTACCTACCTGTGAAGTGCTTTGTAACTTTGACCCGCTTGACTGAATACACAAAAAACAATGAAGAAAGTTGAACCAATAAACTAACACAAACTAACTGTATCACTATAACATGATGATGATGGTGATGAAGAATGCCTCTAACGTTCCGCTGTTCATTATAATACAAAAACAGTGCATTAAACAAACCATCATGCTCTTACTTTGAAAACCATGCGGAAATGTCGTCATCAGCAGGCCATCACGTGGTTTCCGAAAATAACCGAGTGACACGAGTAGATTTTAGCCGAGACCGGCGGAAAGGTTGTCTCAAAACTCTGTGTGTGTAAAAAGACGATCCGCAAGCAGAGATATGAGATCCACAAGCGCATTTTTGGTCGACAAATACAAAATGGATTCACAAATGCCTGATCGAAAGTTGTAAATGTTAAAGAGATATTCAAAGATCTTTTTTTTATTTGTAAAAATATTTTGCGTATTTGCAGATCCGTTTTACATTTGCAAATTTATTTGTGAGTTTGCAAATCTTTTAAATGCATTTGTGGATGGTGTTTTACATTTACAAATCACAGATTTACACACAAATTTTTATGTTCACACAAATTATTATGAGACAATTCTACTGTAAGCCCATACAGGGCTAACACACACAGTTTTGAATAAAGGACTTTTTTAAGTCTTTCAATTTGTGAAGAGTAAGATGAGAAAAATTATGCCACTTTCAGAGTTATATGAAGCTACCACCAGCAGCTTCATAGCTTAGCTCAGCTCAAAGACTGAATCCGCAGGGAAACAGCTAACCTCTCTCTGAAGTACAGATTAAAGATCCAACATGTACATTACTGAGCTTTAGCGGTGCTTGTAGGCAGATGTAGATACCTTAGAACAGAGTCAGGCTAGATGCTTCTCTATTTTCCAGCCTTTGTGCTAAGCTAAGCCAATGTTACATTACTGGCTACTGACAGTAGCTACATATAGGTAGGTAGGCACATGAACATCAAACCTACACTAGAAGGTGAATACATATTTTCCAAAAAGTAAAATTATTGCTTTAAAGTTGGATGAATGATGTACCACTTTCTTGTCGAGATGAACCAATACTGTATATCAGAAAGCTTGAAGGAGAAGGCACCAGAAATACTGTCAGTCTTTGACATGTCACTGGCATATCATAAAACATGCCATCTGTCACTGGTTATGGCATGTAAGCTTTGGCCTAGCATTTTATTGACTTTTATTCCCCCTAATAGTGTTCCATGACATCATTTTGAAAGCCGTTACATTTAATAAAAGCAAAGGAGCTTCTCTAACATCTGTCCTTAACTTTACCTCTCCCACCACAGTCAACAAACTCATGTTTTGGGAAGTTTGGATACAGGGCGGAAGCTACCCATCCAAATCTCTTTCTTTTTATTTTATTTTCCATGGCTCCCAATATCCCCCGCTGCTTTTTCCCCTCTGTCTTATTTTTTTGATTATTCATGGGCTGTTTTTCCTCTTTCTTAATGGAGCTGTAAACGCCTGGCAGCTCATAAATCAGTGCTTTTAATCAGTCTTTTATTTCTCCAAGTTGATACACTGTGGACCTCTTTGGCATGTGCCCTGCTGCTTCCTGTGGTCTCAGCCTCATGTCATCACACACACACACACACACACACACACACACACACACACACACACACACACACCACACACACACACACACCACACACACACACACACACCACACACACACACACACACACACACACACACACACACACACACACACACACACACACAACACACAACACACACACACACACACACACACACACACACACACACACACACACACACACCACACACACACACACACACACACACACACACACCACACACACACACACACACACACAAAAACACACACACACACACACATCAGTGCCCTGTGGCTGCAGACATTAATTCGGGGTATGTGTTTACACTCTGGATAAGGATATGAGCCTGAACTGGAATTCTGTTTAGCCTCTTGCGGTTTCATCTCTTAATCATGTCTCACAGGCTCAACTCACAGATAATTCTGCAGGGCAATCTTGGGACTCGGCTCCAAACAAACTGTTCAAAAAAGAATCAAACATAAATCAAAGCATTTTTGTTTGAGCTAACAATTGTGAGCAGGGATGAATCGAAGGTTAGATTCTGATTAATACCTCCGTGTGAAAATGTGTTATCAAGCTATGCAACACTCCGTAAGAACAAATAAGATTCAATACGTGTTCTTACACATTTAACACATTAGGATCTCTGTTCATAGTGAGATAAGTATTTCAGTTTGTTGGCGCTCACTTGGAAATGGCTTAAAAAGTCAATAAAAAAAAGCAAAAATGGAAATTGAGCGACAGGCCCGCAGACCATCTGCCTTCCAAAGAGTAGCATTGGCGCAAGCAGTAACACGCTAATCATCTTTCTTTCTCATACCCAGTGAAGTTTTAATTATCACAGACAGAGCGCGGCAGGAGCCAGGGTAATTTACAGATTACACGGCGAGTGTCAGCCTGCCTTCACCCTGAGCGAGGAGAACTCCCAGCTTTCAGCTACTTCTTTATTTACTGTTGGGGGCCCATCGTTTTTATGTTCTCTAACATCTAAAGAGGGTTTGATTAAAATGTACCACAGCCTGACTTACTACATAGGGAGAAATGTAGAATGCTCTCTGATTTTATCTTTCACCCACACTAATCAAACATTTTCAGAAATCCATACTTCTTTTACAGCTTATTGTCTGTATTGCATCTCCTCATAGTGGATTGATGTAACGGCGTTACCACCTACCTAGTTTGACAAACTGTCAGGCTCTTCTCGAAATAAATTATTTTACACTTGAGTAGTTGTACATTTGATATTTTATAACTGGGTAGTATGCAATCACTAATATCCAAAAAGTATCTCAATAAATGATTAAAACTGTACTTTGAAAAAGAAGCAGCAGTCAACAGTAGGCTATATTAGCTTAGCTTAGCATAAGACTGGAAGCGGGGAAACCCTAGCCTTTCTTATGGTAACACAAATACCCTAACAGAAACACTTAAACTTGCATGATAACATGTTGAACTTTATCTTGTTTGTTTAAACTATACCAAACCAAAGTATAAATAAGAACTATTTACCTTCAGTCAAAGCCAGGCTACATGTTGTCAGTGTTTTTGCTAAGCTAAGCTAACCCAGCTGCTAGGTGTAGCCGTAGGCCTACTGTATTTTGATCAGATGGATATGATAGTGGTTTCAATCTAATGCTCAGTATAGGGAATAAGTTATTTCTCCAGACATCCATTTATTCCTTTCAAACAAGCAACTTGAATATCTGTCAGGACAAGAATTTGCAAGTTCCAAATCAATTTCAATATGATATAACATATAATTACTTGCCACACTTGTTGTGTTACATCATTATATGTCTCTTGTTTGCACTTCTTCACAGCATCAATTAATCACTCATAACTACACCTGAGAGGAGGAATTAGGACACTGTTGAAAAGCAAGTGTCTATTCGCACACACACACACACACAGACAGACAGACAGACAGACAGACAGACAGACAGACAACCGACCGACCGACAGACCGGCACACGCAGACACACATATTCCTGCTCCTACTTCCCCTCTCCTCTGCAGGCCTGGGCTGCTTTTTAGTTTTTTTGTCTTTCAAAACACACTCATTAAATATGACATAATAACAATACCATTCATTTCCTGCCTCTTCAATTACACTGACAGGGGGTTTATAGCAAATGATTGGCCCATAAATATAATTCCCATAGCAGTTTAAATCAGTGGGGTACAAAAACACTATTGTTTTACTAAATGTGATCAATCCGTCACAATGCCCTCTGCGGACAAACAAACAGTGGACAGAGAATATTTCCCTCCAGATATGCAATAAATACGTATAATATGATATATAGTATGAAACATTTTAAAATGCGAGAATAGAAGTCTACTAATTTCAGCACCTCTGAAAGACTATTTTCAATTGTTACAAATATTTCATTTTAAAATCGTTTTGAGTGGCCACTTTTAGACCTGAAAGACCCTTAACTACAGCATCTAATACTATTCTATAATTGATGTCTAATTTTCAAATGTTATGGTGCATTTAACTATAGCTCAGGCTCTTAGTCTTTAAAACAGGGCAGAAGATATGAATGATTACTTTTTTTTCATTATTCAGAGTGTCCTAAAAAGAAAGAGAAAGTTTCAGAACGATTTCCTTTAAATTCCTTTACGTACAAATGTTGTATTGACTATACGAAATAAAAATCCATTGGGAAAAATTACTCTTTCTCAGCGGTACCACTGAAAATTGTTTATTTTAACATGGAACAAGAAAATAAGGGCTGAAACATGTTGTGCCTATCTAAAACAAATCAAATAGTTGGCTTACTAGCTTCTACACGCTAAAGCAACTAAAATCTCTCACCAGCAAAATACCTCGACAGTTAAATGCCATTTTACGTTTCATTACTATATACGATACAGTATGTATTATCGTTATAGTATTACTATTTCGGCGATTAGATAAAATATAAATTATATTTGATGCAACTTTAGTTACATTTCCATGACTTTTCCAAAACTTTGGGAAAAATATTGTTTTCCATAACTTTTCCAGGGCCTGGAATTAGCATTTTGAATTTCCATGACTTTTCCAGGTTTTTAATGACCGTAAGAACCCTGCTTGTAATAAATTATGATACCAATTCATGATTACAATTATGTATTCGGACAAACCAACAAAGAGTAGGTTGTAACCCTTTTTTGCTTCCTACAGCATTGCAAGGTACGGCATCAAACTTGCCTACAACTTGTATCATATTTATGGTGTCAATATTATCATTGCATTACCCTAACCATCAAATATAAAATCCTAAAATATCACAAACTTATTTTTGCATGACTGCAACTTGACAATTTTATCGCCAGAGGCTGATGGTGACTGGTAGATGGAAAATGGAGACAACTTCTGGTAAATATTATCATCCAAAGACATGCAAACACACACACACACACACACACACACACACACACACACACACACACACACACACACACACACACACACACACACACACACACACACACACACACACACACACACACACACACACACACACACACACACACACACACACACACACACACATAAATGCATGTACACACAGTGTCAGGTATGCAGGGTAATCAGTGAGGTTATGGATAATGTGCCAAACACCTCTCAGCAGAGATGCAGGGACACCGTCCCCTTTTTCTTTCCTCTTATTATAAAGAGAACTTTAATGTTTAGTAACTTTGAGACCAGCGGAAACCAGGTTATGTTGGGACAGAGATAGCTATGAAGATAAATGTTGACAGGAAAAAGGGGGAATTCATAGTTGAAAAGAGAATACAAGGTTGTTTGTAGGAAAGGTTGAGAGCCAGCGGAAGGAAGGGGAGGGAGAAATTAAAAAGTGAGAAGGATGGTCTTACATTCTTTGGTGTTGCGTGGTGCGTTCTGGCAGGAGTGGCAAACCATCCAGAGGTTTCTGGGTCTGGTCTCCAGCATGAAAAACCTGGGAGAGATAATATACATGAGTTTAAACCAGCAAACTGTTAGACTGTATAATTAGGCTCCACAAGACTATTACACGTACCGGAGACAAACCAGCTGATATAAAGGACATCTTGAAATAAAATCAGTTTTAAACTCATAAAGCACTATCAGCAAGCACAGCAGGTGTGTATACTGCATGCAAGCTCCCTTCCTTCCAGACATATTATCCTATACCTACATGGTGATAAGTACGGGGAAGCAGCTGAGGTGAAAAGTTTGCCTCAGTGAAGAAATGAACATAATTGATGCCCTGAAGGCACCTAAAGGTGGCTTGGTACATATTATCGCCCTGAGTCATGAAGCGTCTATTAGAGGAAAGGGGAGAGGTCTGTGAATGACTCGCGTTGGTATTAAATCATTTAGCTGAGACAACATGAGCAGAAATTATTAGAGTATGTACATAATGTATGCAGCAAACAGGTTCAAACGGAGGCCTTTTTATTATGTGGACTTAGTCCTATAATCGGAATCGATTGTGTGCTTTAACTATTAATAACTTTGCACATTAACAAAGGTATATGAGCAAATTGTTTTTTAAGGGTTAGGGGTTTCTGTAAATGTAAGCAACATTTTCTCAGATTATAGTGTTTTATTCTAAATCGCTTGTTGTGTGATGTGTATAATAATGAAATGCTGCTTTTATTCTATTTCTTGTAAATTGTATTTAACCCTTGCAAGGATAAAAAAGGAAATTAATAGCGACAAAAGTACACAAACAAAACATGGCAGTTATTTACAGGCAGTTCATTACATGGATCTTCTACAACCTATATCAAATGAACTTAAAAAAAACTAAAACAGAAAAAAGAAATCAGGACATTTTCCAGAGTAATCATTGTTATCACTGCTAGTGATGTACTGTTATGTATTAGACATTATTAATAAATCATAGATAGTAATAAACTCCATCTGTATTTATTGCCTACTGATGACCAATACAAATGAATCATTTTGATGTTGCTTTCAAGGAAACTATAAATATTTCCGTCAAAACAGAATCATGCTTATTTTCCTCCAGGTCTTTTTCTCTGCTGAGATACAGACTTTAAGTGCGCTGTTTCAATACTGTTGAGGCGTGTTCTGTTCTGCACCCAACGGGTATAGACTCTGCTTCACTCATACATTCAGTTCAGAGCATACTGTACAGACGCGGAAGTAGATGTGACTAAACTCAGTGTTCCTGAGCAAAAGCAAAAACATCCTGTAGTGCAGAAGGACTCAGAGCCAAAAAACGTAGAAGACAGCGGGACAGCATGCACACCACTGACAGGAGGAGGAATCATGAATCTGTGATATTTATGCCAATTCCTTCAGGACTTACTCAATTTTGTTCTGCCCACATTCAATCATAGATATCAAATAAAGTATCATAGTCATAAAAACAGTTTTCATTATACCACTCAGCATGAGATCCAAAACAGACTTTTAACATGAAGAATGTTTGGTGTCGACAAACAAGTCAATATGAAGAGAGGCAGACAAAGGGGGAATGATGGGAAGGTTGTGCAAGGAAGAGGGACAGAAAGGTCTGGTAATGTTTAAACATCCCTAATTGACTTATTATTTTAAAACTAACGTAGGAGGGTTGCATCCCCAGCTGTCATTTGCAAATTAGGAAAATAAGATTTAGAGTGTGTTTGCATACAAACGGAGGGAATGCATTCAAATGAAGACAACAGGGTGGTCTAGTCATTTCAACTCATATTGCACTATCTTTTCAGATTTGATGAGTCATACTATGAACATAATAAAGTACATCTCTGTGATGTACCTATATATTCAGTGTTTAGTGCTAAAATCCTTAATCTATAAAATGTTTCAATTAATGTCAAAAACAGAGTGTGTCCCTATTTTATTTTTTGGACACAGACGGGGCACATCCATCACAACACATAATCAATAGTTTGACAATATTCCAGTGATCTATAGGTGGCAGTAACGTTACAAAAAAGACCGTCGTGCCCCCAGGAAAAGGCAGTGAGATAAAAGAATAGTTCTGCAGCAGGTAAACATTGATTTTACCATAGAGAATTTGAAATGGGTTTTCAGTTGATTTATTTGAAAGAGACATTAACACCTTGTTCTAAGTAAGTCTGAACCTAAATGTGAACAGAATCCTGCAAGTTGCGTAAGTGCCATATTTCTTTCAATTCAGTACTGTGTAGTAATCGCTTGACACCTTTTTGTTCTTTGCAAATAGGTTTTGAATCTTGTGTGTGTGTGTGTGTCATTTACCCAGTTAAACAGGGTCCACACTCGGCATCGCTGTCTGGAGTTCCCGCTGCTCTAACAGTGGCTTTGTAGAAAGCGTCACAGTCCTTATGGCGTCTGCAGATCTCATACCTCCCTTTGGAATATTTCCCATGCGGGCACGGCACACAGGCAAAGTCCTCATCCTTCACACCGTAGCCACAACTCTGAAAAACACACATGTTCATAGATTTGGTTAATGTTTCTCTCCTGGTGTACATTAGATAATGACATTTCAAACTAAATTCAACATTCCACAGATCAATAAGATGACCAGCTTATCGTTGTGTCTTCTAGGATCAATCTCATCTCTGTGTGTTTATTCCTTAAAGAGAAGACTACAGACCACACACACGAATAGAAAAAACCTACTCTCCTTTTGGCTTCCTCTCTTTCATCTTTCATTTCCCTCTCACTTTCATCTCTGTATTAAAACAACTCTCTGCCTCTTAGCTTTGGGCTACAGTAGAAAGACTCTCAGAGAAATCTAATATGTCTTCCCTTCTGTTTGACGTCCGTGAGTCTCGGTGTGATTGTTTGATATGAAACTTTGACCGAGCTATTGGCAGGATCTTGTCACTTTTGGTTAAATCTAGCTTTGGATCTTTTTCTTTTAAACAGTATGGCCGCAGTGTTGCTTCTGTTCCTTTTCTAAAAGCTATTCCAATTGAAAGCTTCTTTCCTTTCAAAGCAAATGTGTCACCTCTTTGAAACTGGCGGATCATAAATGGAGGAGGAAAGGAGGAAGAAACCTAGGATTTATAACAAGCAGGAACATTTCTGGCATGTGTTTCCTTTATTTTGAAACTTGACAGTGAGTGGACATTAAGGTGATGACATGCAACAAAGGTCCCAAGTGAAATCGAGCCGGGAAAAGTCGCGGTAAATCTTAAAAAAGATCCCCCCAGGGAGCCTACCCTCAATATCAAGCAGATTCCACATCATGCGAGTTGACATGAAACTTCAATACCTGATTCTTTAATGTGTCACCACTTCGCCATCCCTTTCATCATTTGGAAAGATATGTTTGACCCGATGTTTATGTTAATGTGAACTAGCGTGCAAATCCAGCGACATCACACGCAATCTGGGTACAAGATGCACTTTAAAAGCGTCCTTGGATGTCTTCTGTGATGTCTACTGTGTGTGTGCGTTAGTGTGCCTGATCACATACTTTCTGAAGTCTCTGTTGTGAGAAATAACCCTGTGGTTATCTCGTGATTAAAAGGGTGTCAAGACACACACATGCAGGGAAAGCAGAATAAAATAACACATGAATTACAGACTGTGGATCAGACATCCAGGGGAAAGTGCAAAGGGGACTCATCTCTCTGATTAAACTCCCCTCTTCTCTCATGTTTCACAAAGCTAAATTACTCTTTATGACAGAGCTCTGTGCTCATCAGATGGAGTTTTCTCTTTGCCCTCTCTTCTCTGGCAGGGATTTTTTGCAACTTCTAACACAAAACATGGTTGGGCATTCTTACTAGAAGCACATGTTATGTTAGTGAACACAAGGCAGGAAGCAGGAAAGGAAGGAAAAAACAAACAATCATGGCGTGTTTATGCTGTGGTGAGGGGAAAGGACAAAAGAAAGGATTTATGGTGTTGTCATCATTCCCACTGAAGGGTGTGTGTGTTTATAACATTTTGTGAGTAATGTTTGGACAGTCTCTCCACTTAAAGAGTCAAATACCCCAGAATCTACAGGATGGACTGTTGGCTCCACTTTTTTCTGTCCTTTTAGTCTATTATCTGTTTTCATCTTCGTCAACAAACATGTTTTAGTTTTAATAACCTTAATGGTGTCTTAATGTTTCATTCAGTGCCACCTTCAGGTCAAAATTGTTGATTATAACGATACTACTTTACTAACTTAAAGGTAGGGTAGGTAAGTTTGAGAAACCGGCTCGAGATACACTTTTTGTTATATTCCATGGAATGCTCTTAACATCCCGATAGCAATGAATATCTTAAGTGCTTTGACAAAAAATCCATAAAAAAAATATCATCTGTGGAAGCCGTAGTACTGTAAAAAGCACGACCAATCATTTTAGCCGGCCCGGCTAAAATAACTGGATGGCCTACCTGCCTGTCAGCCTTCCATCTGTGCACAAACTTATCTCGTGCCCTCATTGGTCATGTGTGCGTTTGTGTGTGTTGGAGGAGGGGCTCTGTAAGGAAGTGGCAGATTTTCTCCGGTTGTGTATTTTCAAATTCTAGCGATCTCGAGCCGGTTTCTCAAACTTACCTACCCTACCTTTATGGATAAGTTAAAAAATAAAGTAGAAAGAAAGTGAGGTCAAAGAAAACTATTTCTGTGATTGAGAGTCAGAGCTAAACATTTCAGATGTGTGTATCTCACACTGCACTGTACATTTTATTCATGTACCCTTTGTTATTCATGTTTTATTATCTTTGCTTTTAAATGAGTGTTTTTAAATGCCATTTTATAATATGTTTCTTAATGTTCTTAATGTCTTTCATTTTTGTAAAGCACTTTGAATTGTCTTGTGTTGAAAGGTGCTATATAAATAAACTTGCCTTGCCTTGCCTTACTTTATGAGCTGCTTACATAACTACACTTTGAAGCTCGTTTATTGAGGGTTTATAACATCTTGTGATTTTTCAAAACTGTAAATGCCAGTTTATATAACTTCACATTATTATTACTTTATTATTATTTGAGCTATTATTCAACTTCTATTTTAACTTTTAAGAACCATAACCCTAGCACATTATTTAGATAAATATTTATAGTGATAATACTCCACGATTGCAACAGATTATCAATCCGTATTCTAACCAATGCAAATCATAATGCATGAAAATATGCACTTACATCAAAAACATTAACGTAAAGTAAGGCCACTGAAACCAAGTGGCTGCACCCTTATTATTTACAGAAACGTTCATTCCTCCTTGTTGCCCTTGAGTGCGCCTGTCTCTCTGGGGAGGGTGTGGCACCCCGGGGTGCCAACTGAAGCGTTTACCTTGACTCTGTTTTCTTTGGCTGTCTGCAGTCTGACTGACGGAGGCTGAGGCTGTGTGACTACTGCAAGTCTTTCACTGTGATGCATGCCTTCACATCCAAGTCAATGGGAGCAATAAACCATGAGAAATTGTTCATTTGAATTTAGGCACTGTTCACTGTGCAGCTATGTTGACGCTGCTGTGTGTGCGTGTGTGTGAGAGTTGTGGGTGGTCTGAACAGAACAGGTTCATGAAGTCAGATTTTGTCATAATTTGATGTTAAATGTGCAGCGTGTGTGTGTGTGTGTTTGAGTGTGTGTGTCTTACCATATGCGGCTCCTGTCCTGCCTGGCACTGAGGGCAGGCCTGGCAGCTGTTGCTGGTCTGATTGAAGAACTCATACTCTCCACAGCTGGAATACTCCGCACTGGCAAACATACAACACACCTGGAGGGGCAGAGAGGGGGGAGAAGGGAGACAGGGAGGGGGAGAGGGGGGAGAGGTACACATTAGGGTCAAACATTTTTATGATTTACCATTAACATTGTGTAAGTGCGAAAAATAAATGCTTCTAGGTCCATTATGGAAAACAGGGTTGTTTGTATCCATTTGTATATAATTCATCCTTTCATTATAGATTAAATAAATATAATGTAAATATTCAAATCAAATTAGTAAACACAGAAAGACATTTACTTTTTTACATCACATTTCTAAAGAAGTTTTAAGCTATTGCTAACTATTCTCAGCAAAATATAAAACACAAACATGTTCTATTATCTGTATTAAGAGAGTCTTCAATATAATAATGTACATTTTGTCTGACCAATAGATCAACAGTGCTGAAACCAACAATTCATTTTGCTTAGTAACTTTAATTATTTTTATTCAACATCATTAATCCTCTCAGTAAAATGGGGATGTTTTGAAATGACTCAACATCTGCAGCAGCAGCTAATCACTGCACTGGGTGATGGCTGATTTATTTAGTCAAATTAACTGGCTAAGAATCAACAACAGACTAACTGTCAGAATGCAATACAAACAACCATCAAATCCATACTAATGTTAATGTTAATTGTTAAGGAGGGGACAATGCACATTCATTAACATGAGCTCTTGAGTCCTCTTCATCTGTGACTCGGTTTGTCTATGTACTGTATGTGTATCTTCGTGTGTGTTTGTTTGTGTGTGTGGCATTGTGGCTCACTGTAATACGTAGCAGCTGGAATTTATAGTTTCACTAGCACACAATGTTCTTTTCCAAACAAACTAACTGACTTTTATCGTCTGCAGTCCAGAAAATTATGGAGGCAAAGCAAACGTGTGGATGACTAACTCTCCATCTTCTCTGTGCTGTTTAAAAAACATCTCCCTCTCTTTTCTCTTCCTCATAACCATCTCATGACAGCAGACATTATGCAGTGTTTGAGTAAATACACAAATTCAAACTGTTTGTGTGTGTTAGGGGTTTGTATTGAACCCAATCATCTCAGGCCAAGTAATCTTAATGTAATCTCACACCTGATTCAAAATGACCTGACCTTTACGCCACACTCCTGATGCATGGTTAGTGCAACCCACGCTGCAAGCCAAACAACTCTACAACATCACCTGCCACTCTTCTTTGTGAGTATGTCACACATGTATGGGTCACTGCAGGTATTTAGCAGGTATTTAGCAGGCATTGTGTGCCTATGCATTCACTGAACTCAGTACTTAGGCTCTGAACAAAACTGCATCAATTCTCTTTTTGACAACGTTTTTCCAAAACTGGAAAAACTATTTCCAACTCAATTCCCCAATTCTTTGATGATATGATTGAAATATGCCAAAAATAATACTATTACTTGTAATAACTTAACCCATAAGATTTCATTTTATATTTTGCAGAGTAGTTAAACACTATTTTTTGTATGTGAAATCTTACAATGTCTTAATATGTCAATATAAGCACTCCAATAAAGTATACCAGTTTCTTTATTTTGTGCATTGGTAACAAAATGGCGCCGGTGATGATGGCTGCCGTGTCCTTTGCTCCTCTCCAACTCTGCCTTTTTTCGCTTTATTTTATTTTGTATTTTGAATTTTTGTATTTTATTATATATGTTGCATTGTTGGAGGAGCTCAGTTCAGAATAATTTCATTGCCATGTTTACACTGTAGCTTTGTGCATATGACAATAAAACCTTTGAATTGGTACAGTAGTTGAGTGACTTACAATAGGGCCAAGTTTAAATCAAATGTTAGTCATTTGTCATAGTTATACTATTCCCCAAGATATAAAGTGAGTCCAATGACACCACTTAGTAGTGTAGTAAACCAACACCATTAACTGAATCCGAACATCTTTTCCCTCCTGCATGTACAGATAGTGACTGATGAGGGGGGGTGAGGAGCCTGATGGGAACTCTGCCAGTGAGTTTCAACATCAAAACAGACAGAGAGTCTCTAGATTCCCGGTCCGATTACAAAGATATATCTGTTCTCTAAAAAAAGCTCTCAGGTTGACTAATTGGTAGAGTGCTGCAAAGTTGTGCAAGCTGCTGGCATGAGAGAACAAAAGTCTGGATGACGCAGTGCAGAGAGTTGAGTCAATCGTGGCTGTGATCCATACCCATGGAATAGTGGGAGTTCTGAGGATAACTGATATAGGATGATGGTTTTTGATAGTATTTAAAAGAGGGCAAAGAGAAGAAAAGATAATGTAGGTGAAGCAGAGGAAGAAGTAACAAAATAATGGGAAAACGGAGGAGGAAAAGATCACAACAGTGTGGAAATAAAGTCAAAGTAAACATGAATTAACATTAGGATTGGGAATTAATGAAGAAACTAAAATAATCAAAAGTAGAATTACAGTTGGAGGACAGAGGAAATAAAGAAAACAAATGTTTAAAATAAGAAACTTACCAATAATGAGGACAGAAAGATGGATTTCTTCTGACTTCTTCTCTCTGACATGTTTGCGTCTTCTTGCTGGGGACCAGGAGAGAAAGATAGAGAAATGGTCATTCATTGTTATGCAAACATTTCCTGCAACCAATCTTCCGCACCAAACGTCATTTACGAAACAGCAAAGTCACAAATCTGAGAGCGTTCCTGCCCGCAGTCGTGCTGTCAATGGGCACGATGTGTGTGTGGCCCAGATGAGTTCAGTGTCCCGTTAGCATCACGTCATCGCCCATAAACAAGTAATAGCAACAGAACAGCCCATGGCATTCCTCTGGCTCATAACTGCGAGCACACATCACCGTTGGCTAACCTCTGCCTCAATAAAAGAAAGGTGATATCACATAATAATTATCTGTCTCTTTATTCATTCCTCTCATGCACTCAGATTTTCAAACTTAGTTAAAACGCCAGTAGCTTAAAGTTTCCCATCAGCTTGAAACTCTATTCCAGCTGCACCAAAATAAATGTAAAGAAAAAAAAGCTATTTCACGTTCGTAACACACACAAACCCTGGCAGTGTTGCTGAAATGGGCGAAATGAAATGAAGGTTAGAGGTTGGATATGTGTGGTATAATGCTAGCAGTACTTCATAAAGCCTATGTGTATTTTTCATATGAAGAAAGATATATGTTTAGTGTTTGTGTGGGTGAATGTGTAACTTTTTGTTTATTTCTTTGTACATCTGCAAGCTGGTGCCTGTGATTGTATTTACTGTGTTTGTCCCGCCTGGGTCTGAGAGGAGGGTGAGGCGTACATGTGTTGCTGTGTGTGTGTGGGTGTTTGTGCGAGTGTAAATAATGCTGTCACTGTAATTGAATGGATATGTGTTGGCTGGTGTCCTTCAGTAAAAACATCACCCCTTAAGCGACATTTGAATATAAAGGATGAGCCCAGAATCACTCATACAAAGGCTCACAACAATTTGCAAACAAATAACAAATGTAATCAAACACAGAGAGCTCTCAGAAGGAGGGAAGTGGAACAAACGGACTCATTTGCAGCGTTTAATTGTTACACAACCAAAGCAACTCGTATGCTTGGTTAAACAGCACCATGTTCATTTAGTGCGCCATGCTATAAATAATGTGTTTCTTTACTGTGTGTGTGTGTGTGTGTGTGTGTGTGTGTGTGTGTGTGTGTGTGTGTGTGTGTGTGTGTGTGTGTGTGTGTGTGTGTGTGTGTGTGTGTGTGTGTGTGTGTGTGTGTGTGTGTGTGTGTGTGTGTGTGTGTGTGTGTGTGTGTGTGTGTGTGTGTGTGTGTGTGTGTGTGTGTGTGTGTGTGTGTGTGTGTGTGTGTGTGTGTGTGTGTGTGTGTGTGTGGTCTCTGGCAGCACAGATAAGAGCCCGCTGAGTGAACGCTGCTTCTGTTAGCTCCCACAAACACAGAGGAGCTGCTGGTTGTTAAATGACTCTATCCAATTAGAAATTGCTTCTAATCTACAAGTAATTACAATGGTACATTCAATATTCTGAAATAGAAAGCTCCACCATATTGGTGTCAATATAGCCTGCAGGGAATCAAATACACAGACCTTTGATTAACTTATCGACTGGATACATTAATTTGCTGGCCATTAAGATGAAATAAAAGACTGTAATTTGCTGTTCCCGCCGGTATTGTAATTATTTATAAAATACATGGTAATAAGGAATGGCTAATAACCACATAAAAAACACAACCTATATATTTTTTTTTAATGTTTTCATTTGCAAGGTTTCATTTATTTTAAAAGCTAAATTACATTTAAGTCAAATAAATTACATCGGATAAATAAAGAAGATAAACACTATAAAAGGGGAAGTTAGAGCATGCACACCCAAAAAACACAAACACACCTTTAATTACTGTTATCAAGTACATTTCTCAGGGAGTCTCTTTGAGTGTTAATTATATGAAAGAAAGATGCAGGTACATGTATAAATATGTATATATATACTTTTCTTGGATCTAGGGCTTCAGTCTGATTTCCTGGTGTTGTAGGGCGGTGACAGCCTAAACCCCGCATCACATAATGCTCACACCAACAGGCCTTAAAGATACACATTGTGCTAAAATGATGCAAAGGCGACAAACAGAACGGCAACCAAAATGTGACACTTGAAAAAATACGGGATAGTGCAAGATCGACCTGTTAATCACAAGGTGGTTACAATTTCTATTTGTCTATTTATATTCATCTATATCGTCTATTTATTCTAAATTAGACCATCATTAACCAAATTAACATCATCCTGTGTGTGCATGTGTGTGTGCGTGTGCATGTGTGTGTGTGAAATAGAAATGGGAAGCCTTCCATTATCTGCTATCTGAGGTCAAAATCTGTCTGTCAGGCTCCACACTTCTGATTTCTTTCAACAATGTCGCAGACTTGACTGAGAAACCTTTTGATGTGCAATCACGTCTAATTCTCCCGACCCCGAGGGCTTGATCTTGCTTAATTACAGCTTCAACATACACACACACTCACAGAATACACAAACATACATTAACACGCAGATATGCAGCCTATACATACACACATCAATGGTTAGTGAGGGCAAAAAGGCTTAATTGCACAAGCCCTTGTGGTAAGACCACAACCTGTGTGTGTGTGTGTGTGTGTGTGTGTGTGTGTGTGTGTGTGTGTGTGTGTGTGTGTGTGTGTGTGTGTGTGTGTGTGTGTGTGTGTGTGTGTGTGTGTGTGTGTGTGTGTGTGTGTGTGTGTGTGTGTGTGTGTGTGTGTGTGTGTGTGTTGCTGTGTAAGAGATAAAAGGGTAGACAGCACTTAAAAAAAGAAATCAGGAAATGAAGAACTGCCAAATGGTTGTCGACCCCCTCAAGGCTACTCATTATGGGGTTAAAGTGACACACACACACACACACACACACACACACACACACACACACACACACACACACACACACACACACACACACACACACACACACACACACACACACACACACACACACACACACACACACACAGCGCTGTGTTTGAAGACTCTGTGTCTTCTGACACTCTGTTCTACCTCTTTCCACCGACTCTCTGTCTCTCTCACCCTCACTCTCTCTGTCGGGGCAGGTCTGAGATGAAAGTCAGCCCACGTCTCTTTCCCCCCCGAGGGTATTAATCTTCTAACGACCACATAATCTCCGATAAATAACCCTTCTGTCTTTAGCTGTGTCATTACCAGGTAGAATATATTCAGTTCCCCATGGCACCGGTAGAACACAGCGATTGTATCGGGTTTGAACTGGATACATATTTTTTAAAAGCCACATCTTCAATGCTTGCTTGACTTGTGAAACATTTTTGCAACGTCCCTCTCCCTCATCCTTCATTAGCTGTCTTCATCTCTGTTTTTCATTTGATTTCTCTTTGTGTCAGCAGAGGAAACCCAATATCCACATAACTATGGGAAGACAATTACTATTACTCTGCTTCATTAAAATAATGCACAATAACAAACCCATTGACCTAAAAAATGCACACAATGCGATTCAATGAGACCTGAATAACCTTCATCCGAGTTCCCTGGCCTACAGTGACAAGCATAATGCCTTAATATCACTTATGACTTCAAAGCAGAATTAAGTCTGTATTGATATGGACTGCAGCTACATTTGACAGCCAAATGTGATACATGTGATAGATGAAGCTCAAAGTCATTATGTGGAGGTTTAGATGCTGTAGGTGAAAGGGGTGGTTGACATATGGAAATTCCCATAGATCATCATGCAGGCACACATACATTAAACTGACAGTTAATGGTAATTATTTTTCTGGCAGTCGCAGCAGGCATCCACCCATCCTTGCCAGTCTCTTGTGGTAAATACTTGTGTATGCTGCTCTTGCTCTTTTTGCATATCATGTATTTATTTTTTGCTATGTTTATAAATGTCATGTTCTGTTGTATGTCAGGGACTGTGGATGGAAATTAGCTCAAAGCTAAAATCTGGCATATTTACACTTGAAGCATTATTTGTCTTAAGTGTTCATTAATGTGCATTGTCCCTGTTCAAATAAACGATTAAATGAAATGTGTCATTGTGTTTGTATCCAGTGTGATAATGCTTTGTTTATTTAGATTACCAACATAGTGTTCAAACCATAATGGCCACTAATAAGCTGATGAAGTCTTTGTTAACTAAAAACAATTTCAGGTAATTAGTAGTTTCCTAAGGGAAAAGGGAATGAGCTAATTATCATTGGTCATTACTTAGAAATAGTACTCCCCTCTGGCAGCACAATCATACTGACACATTTGCTTTGGTCTTTTGTAAGGGGCACATTTTTACTGCATGATCAGTCTGTGGTTAAGCAGTTTCTCCAACCAAAGTGCAGGCCCAATTCCCTCACACTACAGTCTTTTGTCATTCCTAACTCTGTCATAGGCCTCAGGAGGTCTGCAGTGTAACATTTTGAGGATTCTCAATATTACCAAGATCTCACTTCACTCCATGTGTAGTCCAGGGACAACCAGAAGCAGAAACATGCAACAAGTTCAAATGCCGCGCCACCACAAAGACACCGCTACCGGTAGATGCACTGTAAACAACATTTTAGGCCAGGCAAGGGGATGTAGGATAAAGACAAATAAAATCTGCGTAGCTGGTTCCAAACACATGGGACTTTCAGCTGCGCGGCTGCTGTTTGTGTCCCGTTTGATACCAGAGTTCTTATTTCTTACAAATCTTCCATACTTTAGTAAAGCCACTTCCTTTGCTATTTCAACCAAGTACATTTTTTTCCTAAACCTAACCAAGTATTGTTGTTGCCTTAACATAATCTGAAGTGTAGGCGCAGGCGCATTGATCACCGGCCATCCTTCTTTGGGACTTTTATTGTTGTTGTTTAGTTTTAAATGGAAACCACACTGTTAACCAGTGTTAATCATTTCTCTTTCTGTCTCTTTTCACTGTCCAATTGAGTTATTTATATTCATTTATTTTACTGCGAAAAATCGAGAAAAATACATCTCTTGTTTTGTGTGGGAAACGGATTTTCACCATCAGTGTTTAACCCTGTAACACTGTACGCTGTTTGATAATGACTTCCTGCCAGATTAAGTAATAGGCCAATCAGTGGCAAAGGAACTCGGCCAGGAAGCGAACCAATGAAGAAGGGTTAGGGTTGGTTTGTGGGCTCTTCCGTGGCACTTTATTTCTGATGACAATTAAATCAGCAGCATGTGGATCCAGGAGAC